CTTCTGGGGTTCTTCTTCCATAAAGAAGCTCTGTAGTCCTCCTTCCACATTTTCACTTGCAGGCTGAGTCATTTCTGCTTGCTCCTCTCTGTCAATGGTTCATCATTTACCCTGAATGCTTTCTGTGTAATGTATTTAAAAAAAAATTAGTTTAAAAATGATAAAAACTAAACAGCCTACAGTATTTTTACAGTCTTTATTTTACAGTTAAAATAAGTGTTTATCAAATAAAGTCTAATGTTACAACTAATCGTGGAACTCTTTAAATAAAACTTTCTTTCGTTCGAAGGTAAAGGAAGCCTCTCTGTGGTTTTGTGGTCCTCAGGCGCCCTGATGCACGAGCTGTCCAACGACGGAGCGCGGCGTCAGTTCGAGTGCTACCTGGAGGAGATGGTGCTGCCGCTGATGGTGGCCAGCGCTCAGAGCGGCGAGAGGGAGTGTCACGTGGTGGTCCTGACTGACGATGACGTGGTGGACTGGGACGAAGAGTACCCACCACAGATGGGAGAGGAGTACTCGCAGAGTAAGAGATCATCGCTGTCACGTGTTTTAACCTCTGGAGAGTCGACAGTTCTGACTGTCTCTCTCCTCTCCAGTCATCTACAGCACCAAACTCTACCGCTTCTTCAAGTACATCGAGAACAGAGACGTGGCGAAGTCTGTGCTGAAAGACCGAGGACTGAAGAAGATCCGACTGGGAATAGAAGGTACTGTGAAGTACTACGATGGTATTTACAATTGACGTGGATTTTAAAGCTTGCAGTCAACTCAGAGGAGCTTAAAATGTATTTGTTTTATTTCAAATCAGTTCAGCCACACAGCTCGGAGGCAACCACAGGTCTTCAGTCGTGTTTTAATGATCCGTGTACAACACAGCGATATAAAGCAGGAGGCTGTTTGTTGTTCAGCAGAGGTCTTAAATTTCAGCTGACATCTTTGTTGGTGAGAGCCAGAACAGGGCAGCAGGTTTTACTGAGACTCAAGACTGCAGGAGAATGAGCAAAACTTCTGCTGCTGCATCCTCTCTGAACACTGATTATCATCGGTTTCAGATCTGGTGACCCTGAGACGCATTTAAGACTCTGATGACAAAATGTAGCAGCTGCCTGTATGAGAACAACTTCATCAACTGAATTAGCACTTATATTTCCTAAAGTCTTTAAAAATGGAAAAACTCCCAACATTGTTTTGGTTTAATGTTGCTGTGAAGTTGGTATCTTTATAGCTCTGTTTACGAGGCAAGTTTGGTTTCAGCGCGACTGCAGATACATTTATTCACAGCTAGGGTTTGTTGTAGGGATGCAAACAATTAATCAACTTATGATTAACTGATAATGTCCGCCGGCACATCACATCATCATCGCTCTAACCAGAAAGGTATAAGCTTCTCTGAGACTCTGTTTCAGTTTGAGTTAAAGTAGAGATTTCAAAGTTTAAACCAGTTTTTAAATTGTGCTGTTAGGCAAAGTAGAACTGGAGTTATGATAAATAATATACGCTACATTTTATTTTCTTAAAGTGACGGTCTGATTTGATGAGCATCACGAGCAGAAAACACAGTCCTGTGGAAGAAACACCTCAATCCTACGTCAGAGTCATCCTTGAGCCGAAAGTGTAAAAACTCTACCATCTTTTTCCTGATCGAGGCGCAGAGTTATTTGTCAGGCAGCAAAATATCTACAAGATGAAGAAAAAAATAAAAAAGATGCGACTCAGTAGGGGATGAAGGGAGGGACCTGCTTACTGGGCCAATAGAACCAAGGATCAGTTCTGAGCTCTGGAGAACAGAGGAGTAGTTCCTGCCACAGAGAACAACTGGGGCCTCATGTATCAACGGTGCGTATGCAAAAAAAAACAAAAAGCTTGCGTACGCCATTTTCCACGCAAAACTCCGGATGTATCAAAACTCAACTGAAGGTGGAAATGTGTGCAGCCCCACGCCAACTCCAGGGCTGGTGTCACACGGTTCTGTGGTTCTGGTTCTGTTGGAGACACTTAGAGGTGATTCTGAGAAACTGTTCGTGATGTGAAAATGATTATTGTTCGCAGCAGACACACATGATTAACAATTATTACATCCACATGATTAACAACTATTACATCCACATGATTAACAATTATTATTACATCCACATGATTAACAAATATTACATCCACATGATTAATAATTATTATTACATCCACATGATTAATAATTCTAATCATGAAAAAATAATCAACCGATTAATCGATTATTAAACTGAGACGCAGAGGCTCGTTTCTTCATATCAGCTATTAAATAAACAAAGATCTATGTTCTGTCGATCAGTGGATCTGTGTTCGACTGCTCCACCTAGGCTGTGTTGTGGAGCACAGGTCCACTGAGAAACTTGTTTCAGCAACATTAAATTTAAAAACTGGACTTTTGAGATTAAACAAATGTTTATAATTAATGTCAATAAATTACAAGTTAAGAAGGACGTGGACATTTGTCTTTTTTTTTAACTGAAAAAATATTAAAGCGTGACATTAAAGTATGAAACTGAACCAAATCTGTGTCGTTGCAGCCCTGATAGTGTCGCACACAAAAACATGTCCTCACATGGAACTAATTAGAAAGAGGCAAATACTAATTGTTGACACTTGTTCACTTCTGACGATTATTTAATTACTTTTTCCCATCACTGTAAAGTGATTCAGTCATCCTTTTCCCACCAGGGTACCCCACCTATAAGGAGAAAGTGAAGCGGCGGCCCGGGGGCCGGCCGGAGGTCATCTACAACTACGTCCAGCGGCCCTTCATCCGCATGTCCTGGGAGAAAGAGGAGGGGAAGAGTCGTCACGTAGACTTCCAGTGTGTCAAGTCCAAGTCCACCACCAACCTGGCTGCAGCTGCCGCAGACATCCCCCAGGACCAGTTGGTGGTCCTGCAGCCCCCGGGACCACAGGTGGACGAGCTGGACACTCTGCCCCAGCAGCCGACTGTCGGGCCRGGGCCGGAGAACCACCTGGGCCCCCAGCTCCTGCAGCACCAGCAGGCCCAGGACAGTCCTGGCCAGGCGGGGCAGAACCAGTCCCACAGCAGCTACAATCAGAACACTTACCACTACGACCCGGACCCCGACGATCCGTCCCCCTCTGCATGACCCCCCGCCCCCCTCCTGTAAAACTGCTTCCGTCACACCATGTGTGTGTGTTCAGTTTGAAGACGCACAAAACCCTGGTGTCCTCCAAGAACCAGAGAGCACAGCCGGACCCGTGTGACGCAGAACACCGCTGCTGCGTCGACACGGCAGAAACACAAAAACACATCTGTCCAACTGTTTTTATTTGTTTTTATTTATCTGACCAAAGGAGAGTTCAGCTGCGTTTTGTACAGGTGAAAATCCAGAGCACTGTTTGACTGAAGCAGGTGAGACCTCAGAGGAAATGTGAATTTTAGTGCCTCTTCATGTTTTATTTAGAGTCATTATATCTGATCATTAATTTATTTTCTCCCGTATTTAAAACCTTTTTTTATAAAACGTTGTTTTTACACGTTACAGATTTGTTTTTGAAGCTGTTCCACTCCTGTTTACTGTTTTTACAGCACCGAGAGCACAGGATGTCAAAGATGTCRAGATTTTGTTTTTATTTTTAAAAAAGTAAAATTTATTCACACATTTCTTGAGTTGCTTCTTTAATTGTCCCTCCGTCCGTCAGTTACACTTTCAGAAAGCTGTAGCTTTCAGATAGAAAGGCTAAAGTACTGTATGAGTYGTCCTTCTTTGCCCGACCAAACCATATGACATCATCAAAGCCCCGCCCCCTGATAACAGGAAGTGACCTGCTTTTGGCTTGGACAGCTCCATCTCTGACCCTCTTGATCTAATCAGCAACAGACTGTGTCAGAGCACAGGTAAAACGTTGATCTCACTTGTTTTTGGTGAAAGTTGTGGTCATGGTGGTGCGGTGAAGTCAGACATCACSCCGTTCACGTTTGCCTCTAAATTCCACATTTTTCAGCCAATCTGCACCCATTTCACTATAATCAATCCTAACCCACCCACTACAGGAATGCAGTCCAATTTTTACATGTTTTTACAAGATCACTTTGGCCTTTTTCTKTTCACCTTATGAGATGATTAAAAAGGTTTGTGACGATTCCAACAAAACTAACAGTTGGTGACTGAATGGTGATGGGGACATCAGTGACGGTTGGCGTCGAGTTCTGTCTTGTTTAAATAGTTACCTAAAGCAGGGGTTCTCAAACCTTYTGAGTCTGGRRACCTCTTACGAGGGTCGCCCTCATAAAACCCACACTGCTTTAAAATTCATTTACTGTGATTTTAACCCCTGAATATGGGATCAATCTTGTGCCAGCAGGAAGTGAATGTGAATTGTTCAGATTGAATCTGAATGTGCATCATTTCAAACTGAATGCATTGGTTTGAAACTGAATTTA